GACAGCGGCGCCCTCGGCCTGCACCCCGGGGACAGCGGCGCCCTCGGCCTGCACCCTGGGGACAGCGGGCCCCCTCGGCCTGCACCCCGGGGACAGCGGCGCCCTCGGCCTGCACCCTGGGGACAGCGGGCCCCCTCGGCCTGCACCCTGGGGACAGCGGCGCCCCTTGGCCTGCACCCACTGCGGGGCGCATCCACCTGGCCCCCGCCGGCCACGCTTGAGAACCCTTCAGCTATGGAAGCAGTTGGCAGCTTCTCACACAGGCTGGCCTAACTTAATCTTCACAGGAATCTTCCCTGGCACGTGTTTTTACTACAAATCAGACTCTGTGAGGTCTGTGGTGGGTTTCTGCCCACGCAAAAAATCTGCCCCGTCATCAGGGCAGCGACCCGACCTGGCAGGGTCCAAGGACAACGCCCATGGGTCACTTCCTCCCCTTTTCTCCTTGCTTGCAGAACGAGACTTCCTCTTCCTTTTCACACAGAGCAATTGCCCCAGTCACCTCCTAAAACATCATCCTGTTTGCCCCAGTCAGCTCCCAGGAAGCCATTCTGCCCATGCCCATGCTCTACCCCACTAAAACTCTGGGGCCAGAGACTCTTGCTTCCTTTTCAGCAGTCCTCCAGCGTGGAGCAATAAAGGCCTCTGATTTCTCTTATGTCTGTCATTTGCACTGAAGGAAAAAACCATACAGTTCATTTGTTTTTGGTTTTTCCTGTAGAGGTCAAAGACAGAAGGATGTGTGTTGAGGGGGGGACACCCAAAAGATGTTCTGGCTGACTTTCATCGGCACTGAGGTCCTCCAGTTACCTCAGCAGTGAGTGCTCTTGTAGACACCCTGCAGGAACCACCTAAAGCCCACTGGAAACCGTTGAAGAAAAATGTCTGATATTCTCAGGACACAAGGCCTGGTTTTGACTCCAAGTGGCCATTCAATCTAGAATCTAGGGAGAGGAAGGCACAAAGAAGCATAATTTTTAGCCAACATGTAAAAACACAACAATATACATATTCAGGGGCTCCACCCCAAGTTTTGATACATGTATAGACGGCCTCATAACTGCATCAGGGGAAGCTCATCCATCTCTTTGCATTTCTGTGGGGTGAACTTGAAGTCCTTTCTTCTAGCTTTCTGAGACACCAACACAGTTCTCCTCAGAAGCCAGTGGAAAGAAAAAAAAAAGAAACCAGTGCCCCGGGACTTCTTGTGCCTAATTGTCACTCACAGCTCTTGGTCAGCTTCTCCGCATACCTCCCCCCTCTTGCTATAAAACCTTTTGCCATTCATGTGAGACCAAAGAGGCCCGATATTTGGCTTTCTTGAGACTAAAGTTAACCTACTAATTAGCCTACTGGTGACCCTCTAAATGACATCATTGGCAGTGACTGGGCGGAAGCAGAGGCTGCCCTGTCCTCTCTGGGGCAGGGCTGTCACTCTGTGAGGTGCTCCCTGTCCTGTAGTTGCATCTCCAGGGGCCCAGATGCACATCTGAAGAGCTGGGGCTGGCAGGCTGGAGGAGGGTGGTCCCCACAGCCCTGAGCCTCAGGTCTGCTCCACAGCCACACTCACTTGGCAAAATTCCTTTCATTTCTTAATCTTACTGTGTGCCAGGATGTGAGACCTGAAGAGGGGTCAAGGGCCCAGCTACTGCGCTAACCAGGATGGTTGTTGTCCTGCTTAACAACCAGTAGTTGTTTCCTTTCTTCTCTTGTTCTCTTCTGCCTTCTAGGAAGATTTCAACAGCAACAAAAACAAAACACCTCACTGTTCATCCACAGAGAAGCGTACCCACAAAGTCTCTGTTCAGCTCCCCTTGCTTGTTTTTGGCTCAGGGCTCAGCCGCTTCCCACAGAGCACACAGCAGCAGGGAAGGGATCTGCTCTGGCTTCCTGTGGACTCCAGAATGCAGTGGGAAGCCACAAGATTTCTGGGTGAGTGGTCAGAGCACAGTGCTGCCTTTATTCCTTGTTTTTGCCCTTGGTAGGGGCTGGCTGATTCCAGACTGGCCAGGCCCAGCCTGTGGTGTACACCCTTCCTCCGAAAGGAGCTCCTCTGGGACCTGGGACTCTCCCTCATCATCGGTCACTCCCTTGCCCTTGCCCCACTACTGATGCTGTCAGTTTGGTGTTCAGAACCGGCTCAGAATCAGTATCTGCTGGGGTCCAACCGGAGAGAGAGCTGGAAGGACATGTATAGTAAAGATCTGCTGGAGGAACTGGGGCTGCAGGGGTGAGTCCGATATCTCAGGAAGGATGGGCTGGGCATAGCAGGTGAGCAGAATTCCCCTTCATTGGGGAGATGGGGGCTGTGCCCTTAAGGTCCAGCATGCATGTCCATGTCTTGATTCTGAACAGTGTGTGTGTGTGTGTGTGTGTGTGTGTGTGTGTGTGTGTGCGTGTGTGTAGTACTGTTCCTGATGGAATCCAGAGACTTTGCATTTGGAGACTCTCTTGCTAAGTCACTGTTTGCCCAGGATGGCTTTGAACTTACCATCCTCCTGCTTCAGCCTTCTGAGTATTTGTGATTTGAGGCATGTACCACCATGCTTAGCTCTAATTAGGGACTTTAATCGCATACACAAAATACATTCACTGAACTCCTCAGATTAGTGTTTTACTGAATAAACAGTGACACAGTCTGGCCAAGATAATACAAAGAACCCAGTGCCCCGCTGGGTGTGGGGGTACGCACCTGTAATCCCAGCGCTCAGGAGGCTGAGACAGGAGGATCACTGAGTTTGAGTGCATCCTGGGCTACAGAGTGAGTTCAAGGCCAGCCTGAACTGCAGAGTGGTAGAGTGAGGCTCTCTAAAATTAAAAAAGAAAGACCAACCTAGAGCCCAGCCTGATTAGCCTCCTCCCTTCCATGGTCCAAGCCTCTGTCGTTCCCCCGAATTACTGCTTTAGCCTCCTTACTAGTTTCCCTGCCTGTTCTTTTGTCCTCCCTGCTCCCCAGTATCCTCACTTGTCTTCAGCAGAGCAGATTGTGGCCAGCTCTAGGGAGGAATAAGGTTTCCAGAGGTGCTCCATCCTACCCCCTAGGAACTGTGGCAAAAGGGGCTTAGCAGGTTATGTGGGGGCTGGAATCCAGCTGAAGAGAGCCTCCTGGATTACCCAGGTGGCCTGGTCTCATTGCAGGAGTCCCTGAGAGCACAGAGGAAGCCAGAAGCAAGGGCAGAGAGCCATGGCCTGAGGAGGACTCCACCCTCAGAGAAGCAGGAAGAGGCCCAGGACCTGGCAGCAAGGGGAGACCTTGGTACTGTGACCCACACCAGGCCCTACCAAGAAAGCAAGTGAGCAAGGAAGCAGATTCTGGCCTGCAGTATGTCAGCCTGAGGAGACCCTGCTGGACACTGTCCAGAGGGTGAGAGAAACAGTCGGTGTCAGTTAAACCACTGAGCCACAATTGCTAGGCAGTCACAGAAAATGGAGGTGCAGGGCAGGAGCTGAGCTCCCCAGAACTCCAGCCTTTGCTGCCTACCACCCTCCTTCCCCTGGCCGCTGCTCCCCATGCCTGTCTCACCTCCAGGTCCTGGAGTGCAACGGGGTGCCCTGACCCAAATTTTCTGATCAAGGAGATTGTGGGTTCACAGAGGAAAGTGATTAATGATGTAGAGTGTGCCTAAGGAGAGTCACATGGAGAGAAAACATTCTCTCAGGCTTTCACAGAGAGCACATTGGCCAAGCAATGGCCGTGGCTCATCCACATGGCTGACACTGACAAAGGATCTACAAACTGTGGTACAGGGTTTCAGGATAAATCCTGAGAGGATTTGACTGAACTTGGCAGATATAAAAGTTACATTTCTTGTTTTATAGGTCTTGCTTTATCTTGGTCTTGACCATTCAGCAGAAAAGTATAAAAATGAGGTGTGAAGAGTGAAGCTATGTTGATATGTTGAGCTGTAAAAGGCTCGAGTCAACAACTTCTGGCATTGCCAGTCCTACGGATAACCCACTGCTATTGTGGACTACTGGACTATATTGGATTGTTTTGCTGAATTCACATGCCTAAAATATTTTAATGGCAATGGAATACGTATCTCTGACAAAGCTAAACATAAAGAGGGGATACAAATGAATGTCCATTTTGTATCTGTATATACAAAATAGTTAGGATAGATATACAGCTACTTTCTCTTAATTCAGTGAGAAGAAAGATTTGTACTAACAGTGTTTGGACAGGATATCATGTCTGCGTCTTGTACTATGGGTGACCACTGCAGGGATGGCAGTGTGCAGTGTATTGATTGTTGAAGTCCTGCTGATCAGTCTCATTGCTTTTGTTTCTCAATAAAATTGATAAAAAGGATATATATATATATATATATATATATATATATATATGAAAGACAAGATTCAGCCTCACACTGCTTCACGCACTTCTGCCCTCGAGCCTGCAGCCACGCTCCACCAGTGTCACCCCAGACCCAGCAGGCTTCCACCCTTCCTCTCTGTCTGGCTTGAGCATTTGCTCAAACACGGAGTCTTTATGGAGCCCTCCCTCCACTGCACCTCTGTCCCCTCCCTTATCATATCTAACACTTGTGGTTTAAAAAGTGGAGAATGTTCAGAGTTTAAATTTTTAAAAATGTATTACAGTAAGAGATACATTGCGATTAACACTCATCCCATTGTTTTCACCTCTTTCTTTTTCTGTCTTTCTTTCTTTTTTTAAGGGGAAAGAGTTTATTTGAGGTCACAGTTTGTAGAATTTTCAGTCCGTAGCTGGCTCCGTGGCGACACAGCCGGCGGCACAGTGGAGAAGCGGTCCACGGCAGGCTGGAGGCAGCGCGGCAGCAAACGACACGCGAGCGCTGTCCGAAGCCGTTCTGGCAGTCCTCTTCTGTGAGTGTCTTTAGTTGCATTACCAAGGCTGCCTCTATGTCTTGAATCAATTTTATGGTCGTTTGGACATCAGAGAAAAGCTAGAACGTGCACAGTGGCAGATCTCATGAGTATGGTAAATGAGGACACGTCATCCTATTTTTATTTGACAGAAATCACTGTAAATGTGAACGTTAGGCTACTTCAGAAAGTGGCAAGAAAGATGGGATAAGCACGTTCAAGTCCAGAGCAAGGGTTTTATGGGGGATCAATGACAATGTGTCTTACTGTAGTACATTTTTTAAATTTAGACCTTTATTGTATGTTTTGATTGCACCTCATACTGTTTTATTTATTCTCTACTTTCTGTTCACTGCTATGTCACCAGCCTCTAGCTCTGTGTGGCATTTATCAGGGATTCGTGGGACCAGGCGGCAGGCAGGAAGGAAGGTAGGAAGAGGAGAGAGAGCAGGAGGCGACCTCCTGTGTGGGGAGGTGGGGTGTGCGTGGGGGTGGGGAGGGCTTCCCCACCGAGGCGCTGAGGCTGAGAATCCCTGAAGCCTGCAGCACATCTTAGTCCCACCGTTTAAGGAAACATTAACTTTTAAGCAGGGTTATTTTTTCCCCTCCCCAAGGGGAGGAAACCAAGAGCCAGTGTGTTCTGTTAGATTAGCTAGCAGGTTTGGACTAGCGATGTGCTTTCTTTTCTAGGAAATCAGCTACATGCTGTTTGCACTCAAACTCCAGGATGAGTTTCAGTCCCTTGCACTTTATTCAAAATCCTTTAGGATAAAGCCTTTACAGCCCTTTGTTGAATAAAGCCCAGAGATTTTATTCTTTGGAGGTTTTTTCTCAAAAATTAAAAATTCCATTCTGATAATTTTTCTTCCTTTCCTTCCCCCACCCCCAGAGACTTTATTAGTCACAGAGGCAATTGGTAGGTAGTTACGAATGGCTATTGGGCTTCCTCAGAGGAAGGTAAGGCACAAGAGCCTGTGTTTTCCCTGCCTTCTCCTTTCAAGGCTGCATGCGGATGGCCCCACCCAGCTGGATGACTTCTCCACTGAGGAATGGGTTCTCGATTATGGTGTGTATCAGATGAGCATACTCAGCAGGGTCTCCAAGTCGTTGAGTGGGGAAAGGTACCTGGCTGGCCAAGAAGCGGCGCACCTTTTCTGGGAGGCTGGTCAGCAGTGGGGTGCCAAACAGGCCTGGAGCAAAGGTCATCACCCGAATGCCTGTGGGAGCCAGATCCCGAGCAACGGGCAGTGTCATGCCCACTGTGCCTCCCTTGGATGCAGAGTATGCAGCTTGTCCAACCTGGTCTGGTTCATTCTGGCACATCTCACCAGCAACCAGGCGGATCACATGAAGGTGCCTAAGGGATTCACAATGATTACTCACTGGAAGCCCTCCAAGCTGTGGGGCTGCTTCTTCTTTAAGTGGCGTGTTTTACTGGCCACGGCAAAGCTGCACAGTTGACAGCCACATCCACGTGGCCAAAATTTTCCTTTGCTAGAGTCAGGGCTGTCTGTACATCCTTCTCAGATGTCACGTCAGCTGGGGCCAACATACAGCTCTTTCCTAACTTCTTGGCCTGGGCCTCTCCATCAGACTTGGGCCAGTCCAGAAGCACAGCACTAGCCCCTTCCCCACCAGTCGCTCTGCTGTAGCCAAGCCGAGGCCTGAGGCTCCTCCAGTTACTACTATAACGAGGCCCTTAATGCTCCTACAGGCAGCAGCCATCCTGTACCACTTCCTTTCCCTTTTTAATGAAGGCATTTTCACAAAGCTGCTGTTCAGAAGCTAGTAATACCTTGTATTGGAGAAAAGCAGATTTTTCTACCATAACAACAACACACAGCGGTTCTGTTGTATTATTGCTGGAGGTTAGAGAGTGTCTGACATGATCGGTTAGCAGGTTAGCACACAAAGGAGTTATTTAAAAAGCAAGTTACCTGAAAAGCCATCGGCAGAGCTGTGCACTGTTTGCTATGGGAATCAGCGAGTTTCGAAGTCTATCATATAGAACAAAAATAAATTTCAGGTAAATACAGCGACCGTCTTGGGTTGCATCCTGGAATAGAAAAATGGCGCTGAGGGGAAAATTGTGAAATGTGAGTGGCCTAGCGTTTGGTGAACAGTGATAGCAGTACTCATTTCTTAATTTTAACAAATGTGTTGTGGTCATAAAAGATGTTAGCATTCGGTGCAAGCTATATAAAATTTCTGTATTCTTGTAACTCTTCTGTAAGACTAAACTTGCTCCAGGTTGAAAAGTACATTTTAAAAATAGATTTTGGTTCCGAGATGGAGGAGGAGGAGAATGACAACATGGAAATTAGAGTCATTTCTTTTATGATTTTAAAATTTAAACCATCTGGTGATACTTTTATATATAATATAAAAGTGAAATCTAAGCTTTTTTCCCCCAAAGACTAAACATCATTATTAATAGACACACAAAACTTTGCAACCATGGCAACGTCAGATGTCACCCGTCCTAGAGACACCCACGCAGCATTGCCAGTGGACTTAAGCCTCACACAGCACTTCCTGAGCAGGCAGCAGGTGGGACGTGGGACCACGTGTCCGAACTTAAGCTCCTCCAGGATTTATGTTCTTTTGTCTCTGAGATTGTTCCTTACTCTCTTCTCTGGATGGCTGACACTGGGAACTTCCGTGTCCTTGAGGTGAGATCCATTCCAACACAGAGGCGGCCGGCTGTGCCCTGATCGCCTCTGCTCAGCCATCAGCATCCCAGGGAGACATACAAATTCCACGTCAAACAAGAGCTATGGCCGGCCATGCACACAGGAGGGGCTGGGGAAGGCCTTTTGGCCCAGATGATAGGAGCCTCTTAATGATCTCTGGCAACCTTCTGCATAGTTGCAGTTACAAAGTTCTTGACTGGAACTGAGAATGCCGCTTTTTAAAAATCCTTGACAAAATCTTTCTATCGATTTAAAACATGATTTCTTACAAACTGCCTCTCTGTGAACACCAGGGTTTTGCTGCATACTCCATAAGTGTATGTGCACTTTGTGATTTTTATGTGTGTCCTTCATTAGCTTGTCATTTGCAGGTTTTGTATTTTCTAAGAGACCATTTTATTTTCTTGTATTAAACATAGGAAGTTTTGGCTGGCCAAATAGCTCAGTGGATTAAAGTGCCTGCAATGGTGCAGGGGCCGGGGGGTTCAATCCTAGGGCCTGCCATACCAGTCCTGCTCCCGGAGCGCACTGAGATGGCAATTGAGACTGGGCGTGGTGGCGCACGCCTGTAATCCCAGCACTTGGGAGGCTGTAAACACGCAGATCACTATGAGTTGGATCCAGTA